GACCCGCCCCACTGCCTCCCCCTCGGGCTGCCCTCCCTTCCTGGTGACGCCAGCACGCTGCGTGCCGCGGTGACGCATGCACGTGCGGGTGGGGGAGGGGCCCGCGCGGGAAGCGCACCCACAGCCCCTTCCTCCGCCTCCGCCCACCCCGCACAGACGTGGAGTTGTCTCCGTCACGTGACGGGGGAGGAGGCGGAGGCCCGTCGCACGCACGCACGCACCGTGACGTAGCCGCGCACAGCGGCCCGCGTAGCGTATAGACGAGACGGTCCCAGACGGAGGGCGACTCGCGCGCGCGGGGGGCCGCTGCGCTCCCCTCTTCCCTCCCCCGCGGGATTGATTCGTTCCCGTCCGGCCCCGGCGGCGGCGCAGGCGCGCTGGGCCGGGCCGGGCCGTACCATGGCGGCGGCCGGCGCGGGGGGAGCGGGCGAGACCAAGGTGATCTACCACCTGGACGAGGAGGAGACCCCCTACCTGGTGAAGATCCCGGTGCCCGCCGAGCGCATCACGCTGGGCCACGTCAAGGCGGCGCTGAGCCGGCCCGGCGCCAAGTACTTCTTCAAGAGCATGGACCAGGACTTCGGGTACCGGGACCCAGGCGTCCGGGAGACCCCGCCCCCTCCCTCATCTCCCCCCCTCTGGGAACCCAGGCGTCCGGGAGACCCGCCCCCTCCCTCATCTCCCCCACCCTCTGGGAACCCAGGCGTCCGGGGGACCCCGCCCCCTCCCTCATCTCCCCCACCCTCTGGGAACCCAGGCGTCCGGGGGACCCCGCCCGCCATCTCTCTTCTGGGGGGGACCCAGGTGTCTGGGAGACCCTGTGCCCCTCCCCAACCGCAGGAGGACCCAGGAGTCCAGGGGACCCCAGCCCCTCCATCAGCCCCCCCAGGGGGGACCCAGGCCTCCAGGAGACCTCATCCCTGCGCCAGGGGGACCCCGGCGTCCGGCAGACCCCCTTATCCCTGGCCCCCACAGGTGTCCCTGGCGTGGGGCAGGACCCCTGCCGCTCCCCTCCCCACCCCACCCTGTCCAGCGCCCATGCACGAATAACCCCAGGCGACCGGGGATGGCAACACACCGACCGTGGGCCAAATCCGGACCGCCCAGCGCTCTGGGACGGACCCTGACATTTTTTTTTGTCGACTTATTACGATCCCTATTGTGATGTCGATGATTATATTTCAATTTTCTCTGGGGCCTGGGCCGTGACTACGCCTTGACCAAGAAATGGGGACCTGAACCAAAATAATTGACTCCCCCTGCCGCGTAGGTACGGGGCGGGCAGATACCCACAGAGGCGGCTTTGTCGCTAATACCATCCAGGTAGCGGAGCTGGGAGCGAGAAGGCGCTGTCCGGATGGTGACGTAACTGGCCACTCATAAATAGTCGGGGCTAAATAATCGAACCTAGATTAATTGACATTCGAAATGGTCATGAATTGATTGGGAGGGGTCATAACTACGTGGCAGGGGCGTATAAATTTCCAGGCTCGGCACTGATTTATAAACGGGGCCCTACCAAATCCACGAAAAAACCCGTCCTGGACCATGGAATCTGGTCTTTTGTCTGCTTTTACCTGTGCAATACAGATTTCACCAGCGTTTTTCCGATTGGGAGGCCTGACCCAAAAGGGAGTTACAGTGGGGGGGGTTATACGGTTATTTTTTTGTGCGGGTCGGGGTATTGTCACCTTTATTTCTGCGCTGCCCTCGGAGCTGGGCGGCTGGAGAGCGGCGGTTGCCGACTGAGGGCCCAGTTAAGGGTGGCAATACCAGACCATGCCATCGTTCTGCGCTGCTGCTGGCAATGGCCCTCCCTTCAGAGCTGGGCTCTTGGCCAGCAGCAGCTGTTCACCAGTTGCCCAGCTCTGAAGGCAGGGCCGCCGCCAGCAACAACGCAGAAGTAAGAATCCTCCCCCCCCCCCCCCACTAATAACCTTGCAAACCCTCCTCCCCTCACAACTCCTTTTTGGTCAGGACCTCGACCATTCCAACGCCGTGACACTTCAGATTTAACGAGCTGAAATCGTGACACTGATGATTTTCAAAATCCTGCAACGGTGACATTGACCAAAATGGACCGTGAATTTGGTAGGGCCCTCTTTATAAACGAATAGTAACATACCTGTCTTGAGTGATGTCAAGTATCAGGGGGTAGCCGTGTTAGTCTGTATCTACAAAAACAACAAGGAGTCCGGTGTTGACAGGGCCAACCCGAAGAAGTGAGGTTTTTACCCACGAAAGCTTATGCCCAAATAAATCTGTTAGTCTTTAAGGTGCCACCGGACTCCTTGTTGTCTTGAGTGACAAATTCATGTAGCTGTGGGGCTGCCTTCAACACCACTTTGGGGTTATAAACGGTGGAATGCATAAATTGGTCATAAATGACAAATAATGCAATATGGTTTATGGTTTGGGAACATACATATGATATGGTGGTGAGTTATATACTTTCATGCAAATATGGCATAAATAGGTTTGGCAAAATTTGAAATTTTAAAATAATTTTGATGGATAATATCCATATTTATTTTAAAGAGTTCCCCCCCCCCCCCGATTTGTATCGATTTAAATTTTTCACAGTATGTGCAAAATTAGGGGACTGATGCGTTTTTAATGCTTATCAATGTGGAATATCACAGCGGCGTGAAATTATGCGGGTAGGCGGATCAATTTTAAATGTTCACAGTTGTGCAAAATGGGTCGTTTAAGCGTTTTTCAGGTTTATTGATCTGAATTCTCATAGTGGCATGAAATTATGGCAGTGGTCCCCAACCTTTTGCGGCTGGCGGGCGCCAGACGACGAGCCACCGAGGATCGAGGCCGGCGGACAAACATTTGCCGAAATGTCTCCGAGAAGCAGCACCGTCAAGAGGCGTCGCCATCGAAATGCCGCCGAAAATCATGGCGCCCACAGGCACTGCGTTGGGGACCACTGAATTATGGGATTGAAGCATTTTTTTTTTCAATTTTTTATCAATTATACATTTGCACAATCATGGGGTTTAAGTCTGCTTTTTATTACTGTTAATGGATTTAAGCTTTCACGGTTGTGGGAAATTATCGGGCGGGCCGGATAATTTAATGACACCGAGTGTTAAGATTCAAAGAATTAAATCTCGATAACCGCGAAAACACAAATGGTCAACATCACGTGTCAAAATAGACAGAGTAAATTGCCTTAAATGAAACCCGAATGAGTTCTCAAGAATCATTTTTCTGTAAATTTTGATTATCATCCATGGTGAAATTGATGTTTACCGACATTTACCGATAAAAATGTAATCTTTCCAAGCCTAGATAGAAATAGTGGATTAATAATTATTAATTATAACCAGACATGGATTTTGTTATAAATAATACCACATATATACACCTCTACCCCGATATAACGCGACCTGATATAACCCGAATTCGGATATAAAGTGGTAAAGCAGCTCTCTGGGGGGGCGGGGCTGCGTGCTCCGGAGGATCAAAGCAAGTTCGATATAACGCGGTTTCACCTATAACGTGGTAAGTTTTTTTTGGCTCCCAAGGACAGCGTTATATCGGGGTAGAGGTGTATATTGGATTATTATTAATAGTCAGGCATAGATTTCAAAGTATAAATAACACAATAGAGATGTCTAGTGATCCATGAATAACATTCTCTATACATTTGGGGTAACTAAAAACGCTGACAATATAGACATTTGATTATAAAGGACAATTGTTATAATAGTCAAAACAGACCCTGAATTGAAACCTTCGTGAAAATATTCCTCATCCGTAGAGGTTGCTAAATTCTTTTTAACCGGATAAATAAATAAAAATCGAGTAAATCTCTTTTGCGTTCAGTTCATTGAGAAATTCTAAATTCGCTTTCCTCCGGTTTAAAACACTGACCCCAGCCTCCGGCGAGCGGAATTTGAGCTACTCGTATAGGCTGATTAAAATATCCAGACCCATCCGAGCATGGTAAATCTTTGGTCAAGGGAAGCAGGCATTTTCCATGGCCCTCAGAATTGTTAACAATCCTCTGGAACATCTTTGTAGGGATTTGAAGTCCGACGTCCGGGCTGAATTTCCAGCCGGGCTTATTCCATTCAGACTCCCTAAAATCCCCCTCCTCATACATGAGTGTAATTATTTCTCTGCTTCAAGTGCCATGGGCCTGGACTGAGATCCCACAAACCGAACAGTCCCGCCCTTAAATTGTTCTGGTCGCTGTGTGGCTGTTAATCGGCTTCTGTGTCCCTCCCCAGGGGTGGCTGCATCTCCACACCGGGTGAGGGATGCCTGGTCACATGGCCGCGCTAATCCGTTTACATTTCTCTCTGCTGTAGGGTGGTCAAAGAGGAGATTTCGGACGACAATGCGAAGCTGCCTTGTTTCAACGGGAGAGTCGTCTCCTGGGTATGGCCACTTTCCTCACTACAGGAGAACGGGCATAGAAATCCCTGCTATTGATCAGATCCATGGGCCCATCTAGCCCGGTCTCCCGCCCCTTCCCCACCATCCTGGAGGAGGCCCGTGGACCCATCTAGCCCTGTATCTTGCTGCTTCCCCACTATCCCAGGTCAGGCTCATGGGCCCATCTACCCCGGTATCCCGCCTGCTGCCTTGGATCAGACCAATGGGCTGCCCAAGCCTGCTATGGTCCCTCCCACTGCCCAGATCAGACTATTTTGGGTGGTGGGTGTGTGTTTCTGGTTCAGGGGCCGTTGGATGATTCAGTCCAAGGCAGCTCATGCATCATTTGTGTGTGTGCCCCCCCTCCCCCCCCCCGCCTCCAAGCTGGTGTCTTCGGAGACCCCCCAACCCGAGCCGGTGCCGACTCCCGCAGAGACCCGACCGGAGCCCTCGCCCCCGCCGCCCCCCCTGCCCCCGCTGCCCGTGGAGAGGACCAGCGGCATCGGGGACTCCCGGCCCCCCTCCTTCCAGTGAGTACAGGGGGGGGGGAGGCGGGGAAGGGTCCACCTCTCAGTACTGGGGGGTGTGATCCTCTGCATTGGGGGGTGGAACAGTCCAATTGGCAGTAATGGGGGGAGCCACTCATCGGGTGGAAGAGTCAACCTGCGGTACTGGGGAGGGGTTTTATATCCTCTGCATTGAGTCCACCTGCCAGTATTGGGGGGGTGGGGGCTTAAATCCTCTGCATTGGGGATGGAACAGTCCACCTGCCAGTATGGGGGGGGGTGAGTTTACATCTTCTGCATTGGGGATGGAAGAGTCCACCTGCCAGTATTGGGGGGGCTTAAATCCTCTGCTTTGGGGATGAAAGAGTCCACCTGCCAGTAGCGGAGGAAACCCAGGGCGGGGTGGAAGAGTCCACCTGCCACTTTTAGAGGATTTACACACACACACACCCCTCCCCCCCTGTATTGAGAGTTTGTAGACTCCACCTGCTAGTCCTGGGGATGGAGGGAGAAAATGCTTTGCATTGGGCTGGGTGGAAGAGTCCACCTGCCAATAAACAGCGGAGGGGTGGAAGGGTCCACCTGCCAGTATGGGCTGGGGGTGGGCATGGAGCATAATCCTGCGTAATCCCGAGAGCTGTTTGCAATAGATCAGATTGGAAGAATCCACTGACTAAACAGGGGAGGTTTAAGGGACCACGTGCAAGTGGGGGAGAGGGGTGGAGACTTTGGAAGAGTCCACAGGTGGGGGAGCTGGAAGGGACCATCTTCCCCTGGATGGAGGGGCGGCAGCGGTGGACCCCAACAGTAACCAACCGTGGGTCTTTGCAGCCCTAACATCTCGGGCAGCCGGGAGAACCTGGAGCACGAGACGGAGACGGAGTCGGTCGTGTCGCTGCGGAGGGAGAGGCCGCGGCGCCGGGAGAGCACGGAGCATGGTGGTAAGAGAGGCCCTGAACCAGCCAGGACTCCTGGGTTCTCTCCCTGGGTTTGGGAGGGGAGTGGGGGCTGGTGGGTTAGAGCAGGGGGGTCTGGGAGCCAGGACTCCTGGGTTCTCTCCCCGGCTCTGGGAGGGGAGTGGGGGCTGGGGGGTTAGAGCAGGGGGGGCTGGGAGACCGGACTCCTGGGTTCTCTCCCTGGCTCTGGGAAGGGGGTGCGACTGTCACCTCAGCTTCCTGACTCTGTCCCCCCCGCCACAGGTGGGCACCGGCCAAACGGGCAGTCGCGGCTGGAACGACACCTGGCCGGGTACGAGAGCTCGTCCACCCTGCTGACCAGTGAGATCGAGACCACGAGCCTGTGCGACTCAGATGACGACGACACCATGAGCAGGTGGGAGGGTGGGGAGGCATGAAGGAGAAACCCATGGGGATCCCTGGTGGTGAGATGGAATCCAGGAGCAAACCCCATGGGAGTCCCCCTAGTTGGGGGGTAACCAGAGTAAACTAGCAGGGTCCCCCTGGTGGAGGGAAGGGAATTGGGGTCTCACTTGTGGAGGGGAGATACCAGGGGCAAGGTAACCCCGCCGGGTGCTGTTGGTGTGGAGCAGGGAGTTGAGGGTTCCTTGTGATGGTGGGATCTGGGGGCAGGGTAACCCAGCGGGGTGCTGCTGGTGTGGGGCAGGGAATTGGGGGGTCCCTGTGGTGGCAGAGAATCCAGGGGCTGGGTAACCCAGTGGGGGGAAGGGAGTCGGGGACAGAAGTTCCCTGGGGTGAGATGGGCCCCAGGGACGGGAAAAATCAGGGTGGGTTCCCCAGGATGCTGGGAGGGAGGGGTAAAGAATATCCCCCCTGGGGGTAGGGGCAGTGGCAGTCGTCCCCCCCGAAGGCTCAATTGTCTTTTCCCCTGCAGCCCCAGCCATAACCTCCGTTTCCCCGCCCCCCAGGTTCAGCAGCTCCACGGAGCAGAGCAGCGCCTCCCGCCTCCTCAAGCGCCATCGGAGGCGGCGGAAGCAGCGCCCCCCGCGCCTGGAGCGGGTAAGGGCCTGGCCCCCGTGCCAGGGAGGGAGGGAGCTGGGGGGGGGGGCTGCATTGCCTCTGCCCCACTGACTCCCCCATTCCGTTTCAGACGTCTTCCTTCAGCAGCGTCACCGACTCTACCATGTCGCTCAACATCATCACAGTCACGCTCAACATGGGTAAGGGCGGGGGGGGGGAGCGAGCTGTGGGGGCAGGGCTGGCGGGGGGGGGGCAGGGGCCGGGGGGGGGGGGGAGAAGGCGTGGGAGGTGGGAGGCGAGTGGGGAAGGGGAGAGGAGTGGTGGCGGGGGAGGGACGTGGTCGTGGGG